TGGACTGTACATAATATTGCACAAGAGTGACGATACCAATGTTGGTGTTTAATCTGCTGAGAGACTGTACTGAGAGCAGAGAGTTAATTGCTTAGTCTGCCTGCAGCAGGAAGGACCTGCAGTATCTCACCTTTAGAGACTGTGGGTGAACCAGCCTGTCAGCAAAACAAGCCTCCAGTGATGTCACTTTCATGCATGTGGTGCGAAATGTTTTTCTTTTCTTTTTTTTCTTTTTTTAAATCAGAGATGGGAAACAGGCGCAGTTCACTTAACGAGTTCTGAAGTCTGGTTCAAGTTTCTTGATACTGCTAAGGAGGAGCCCTTACTAAGCATTTACACACCTCTAAAATGAGTTCTTAATGATGGCAACAAAATTTAAAAATCAGAGTTTTGTTGTATGTTGGGTTTTTTTTTTTGTTTTGTTTTGTTTTGATAGGCAGGAAAACAACATTGGAAAAAGAAAGATGTGCTTTATCAGTCTTGTTTGTTTCTAATCTGCCCCTCTAGAGTCTGTTTCCTAAGAATTCCATGATAAGCTTACTAAGTTTATCCTCTTTTGGTGTCCACTAAAATCACAAATAAAGAAACTATGATTCCACAAACGCTTTGTGCTGAGGACACACTGCTGTGCTTTTTCCGGCAGCTCCTCAAAATCTGCAGCCAACATGTATAATGTACATTTCATGCATTTGTCTCATTATCATTTTCCAAAAAGAAAAAGCACAAAACAGGTTTCATTTATTTATTTTTTTATTGTATTTTCAGACAATTTGTGCAGTTCTCCTCTCCCCAAGTTTGCCACGTCGCCCAAACCTAACAACAGCTACATGTTCAAACGGGAACCTCCAGAAGGCTGCGAGAAGGTCAAAGTCTTTGATGAGCTGGTGTGAGTATTTATTTGTCTTCCTCTTGGGTTTGTTTTTAGACATACCCTCATAGCCTTATATCTGGCAGTTACTGCTACACAATTAAACTGTATTTGTTTAAAATTCAGTTACATTATTTTTATGCTTTTTTTTTTTTTTTAATTAAAACAAGAAAGACAACAAGCCTATCTGCGTTGTGGGTGATAGGGATGAGAGCAACATGGCTGTCTAGGATCAGTAACTAGCAGTTAATCAGATACAGTTTTATAAAAAGATATCAAGCCAAGTAACTGAGTACCACTTCTGTTCTCTTCAGGTCTGGCAAGTCAAAGGGCTTCCCTCTGTTCTCGTGCCCTGACAAAAACAAGGTGAACTTCATTCCCAGGGGCTCGGCCTTCTGCCCAGTTAAACTTTTCTGCTCCTCCCTTTTCTCCCCGGTCTCTCCTTCTTGCACGTCCATCAACCCTGGTTTCCATGGCAACAGCAGCTCTGGATCACAGGTCACCCCGAGTATGCCCACGGTACCGCTAGCTACCTTTTCGTCCTCCACAGACAGAAGCACCGACTCGAGCGGCGGTGTAAACTCAGACAACAGCACAGTCAGTCAGAGCCCCGACGCAGATGTGGGGAAAGACGGCTCAGCACAAGTACTCCTTACCAGCTAGTCCTCAGGTATCCTCGACCAAACCAACTACAGCTAAAATATTGCAACTAGTCAGGTATGGTCTAACAGAAAAAAAGGAAAAAAAATTGCACTCCGATAATCCTAACGTTAGCCAGCAGGGAGTGCTCAAGGTCTAGAAATACTTTGGAGGATAATGGTACCAGCGTCCTGCTGCACAAGAATCTCTACTTGATCCTAGTGTTAGTCCCGCTGTCAGTTAAGTCTGATGGTTCGGGCATTATTGCTGACCTTGGGCAGAGCCTCTCTTCACCCATCACTAACGTAGCCTAGCCTCCTCTGTACTATAACACTTCCTGTAACAGAAATAGCGTTGCTTTTTATTTTCTACAATAGTAGAAACGACTGCTGGAATGACTGTGTTACTTAGTGTCAGCAGTTTAAAATTAAAAAAAGGAAAAAAAAAATCCAAAAGTCTCACAAAACGCAGCAATGTCAAGAAAAACATATTGTATTAACATTATCTAACAAGCTTATTAGCTGTTCAGTGTTCAGCAAGCTAACATTTCAAAGTGCATTTATGTTTCATATTTTTAAGCTACCCGGATGTCAGAATACTTTGCCCCTTTTCCCTCCTGTTACTTATTTGAATGTATTCGTATCACACAGTCTTAAATGAAACCAGCAGTCACTTAAGTGCAGGCTTCACCTGAGAGGCTCACCAGACGAGACCGAAACCTGCATTCCTAGTTCGATCACTAATAAAACTTGGTAAGCTAAAATGCAAATATCAGCTGTTTAATCAGCAATTAACTGACCGATCAAAAAGCACACGGCTCCTCCGTTTCCTCGTTTTAATGCCCCACACTACCAAGAACAATAACTCAGGTCATGTGGAATGTACTCTCTCGGATTATGTTGCCTTTGCCCAGTGTTTGACTTTGTTCTTCAGAAAGACATTCCAGTCTTTTGCAGAAATGTTTCATTATTATTTTTTTAGTTTCTGGAGAGAGGGAGGCTAATACAGACTGAATCAACTGATTGATGTCACCCCTTGTGACGGATGCTTTGCGTGTTAACCTGTTCAGGTTAGAATTTCAGGTGCTATGACACATTCCAGAGACCGCTGTTGAATTGATCAACTGTGAGAACTCATGCAAAAGGAACGAGTGACATAAGCTAGACCCTGCGAAAGTAAGATGCTGACAATTCTGGCATTTGTTTCAGCCCTTTTGATAAATATGTACCAAAGGAAATTACGATGAGAGGCCTTTCATGTGTTTTGGGACACAAAGTAATAACTTCACAAACTGGGATAAATGGTAAACTGATGGTTAACTAAGCTTTAGTAAGTAGTTTACTGTTAACAAACAAGGACATGATAACAAATGTTTGTTAGTCATTAGTAATAAAGCAGTTTGTCATTAGTTTGGCCACATTTGTGACAAAGATGGTGAGATAGAGCTCCATCTAAGCCACAATTTATATTTTTTTTCGTTCTTGGACCAAAACAAGTAGTCTTTTGGTGCTTAAAGCTGCCCCCAAAAATTAAATCGGTGTGAGAAATGAAGCACCAAGGTCCACTGCTTCTCCATACATGCTTTAAAGTAAAGCGCAATTTACATTTATGAACATCACCTGTACTCTAAAGTTGTACCTGGCTTTCAAAATCAAGTCTCATTTCATTGTTTGCTAACAGTAAATATCTGAAGGTTAACTGTTAGTTTACCCGTTCTTAACAATTACTATCATACAGTGTTACTGGAGCACAAAGAAGCAGAATGTTTATTTGCATTTCATTTGTGTTATTAAAGAGCTCAGCAACTACGTAAACGTAAGTGCTAATCCTTAAAATGGAAACAAAATGATAATCACTATTTTTATTTTAGACCAATTTGTAAAGTTAAAGCAATCAGAACAGAGTGCAATTTCGATTTTTGCTTGAAGTAAAGCTACACTAAGGACGAAAAAAAGTGTAACAGTTTATCTCAATATACAGATGCAGCCAGATGTGGCCTGATGTTACTTTGCAAAGTTTGTATTATCAGAACATAATTTTAAAAAACAAAAAAAAACATGACTTTGACTTTGGTCCGTTTTGCCACAAGAACATGTGCAGCACATTCAGCAACAAAGGAAGTTGAAGTGCTTTGCTCTGCTTGCAGCTCAAAGACTTTTAATCATACTAATTCTGATTATATTCACAAGCACACTGTGCCGTTCAGAAATGATTGCCGTGTCAGGCAATGATGATTCAGTTCTCCCGTGTATTACACGTTTTTATGTAGATCTTGTGTGTTTTTCAATAAAGGAAAAAAGAAAGCCCCAAAAAGTCTCTTTGGATTGATGTACATTGTGTTTATCTGTGACCTGGGGGAAAAAAACCTTATTAGTATTCATAAGCATGATTTTATATGCAAATAGGAGTTAAGGTAAGGCAATTGCTGTATTTGGTTATGAGTGAATAATAAATGAATATGAAACAAAGCAACAAAAAAATGTCACTGGGTTATAACTCTGTGTTAACGTGTGATTTGATTAAGGCATTTACTCAGATATGTAGTCAGTTTATGCAGCATTGTCATTAAAGTCAGAATAAGACTGTATTTACACGATTCTTAAAGTTTCCTCTTTTTTTGGCTCTAGAATAATGCACTGACGCAGCGTATAATGCCCGTAAAAACCACTAAGTAAATACAGGAACGTGGAAAAATGTCACATCACTATAAACATGTAGTTCACTGAATCACGTTTACTGCTTAACATAAAAGAAGGCATGCAACATGCAGTAATAAATGACTGATGTGTTTTAAATCAACATACTTCTGGATTATACTTAAAAGGAGATCACATATACTGTATTTTGCAAACAAATCATCAGTCCTTACAAAAAAAGGTCAAGCTTGTGTCTGATCAAAGAAACGACTTGGATTACATGGATGAAATTCCACCTTCAGATGTGGTGAGAAAGGAGTTTAGTTTAAATTCTTGCACTGCTGAATAGATCAATGCCAGACAATTATCCTTCAGTTTGTTTAAATAATTCTATTTAACTGCATTAAAATTCCTCCAGTCAACATGTTCCACTGCTCTGTAAACAAACTGTTATCTTTGTCATATTTGCTTTCTTTCCTCTTGTGCATCTCACGCAGTAGTTTGACATCTTCAGTAATGAGAACTGGAAATGAAGCATGAATGCTATGAGAGGGATTTCCAAGGCAGCTACTGTCAAAGGCGTTTTGTTCCAAACTCTTATTGAGGTATCCCTGCTAAAATAATTTAATGTTTACATTTTTCTTTCATGACAAAGCTGGTAATAGTTCATGGGGCTCTGACAGAAGCATAATACTGCCACCATGAAATTAATCTGCTCATTTCTGGTTACAGCCTGATTTAAAGGGACTTGTGCTCATCGCCACCTCCATATTTTTAACTTTGGACTAGCTTAGCACTCAGCACTCGGTCCTTGGTGCAGTCCTTCAGGTCAGCTACTGTCTGAACACAAACCATTCAACTCTAGCTTTAAGCCAGATTTTTCCTGATTGGTGGCCATTTGCAAAGAGAAGAGTTTAACAGTTGGTGATTGAGGCTTCAGCGCTCACAGCCAGCGCCGTGTGCCTGAGAGCCATATTAGGGATATCTCAACCTTTCTATACACTTATGTAAGATTTTTGCAGCGATAACTAGATCTACACACTTTCTGAGCTCATTATTTAAACTGGCAATTATTTAACAAAATAAAACCACAATATTGTTGTAGTTATTAAAAACATATTTTTATGTTATGGCCTCGTATCAACTTTTTCTCTAAAAATATTTTCGATTTTCAATTTTTTGAAAGAAACCTCATCTTCCTGAAGTTATAATCATACATATCCTCGTTTAGTTGTTCAGTTATGACACTGGGCATTATGCAAGAACATTTGTGGTGTTCTTCTAAATCAGTCTCTAGTCGTATTTCCTTCTAAGATTAAGTTGAAAACACCTCTTGCGTGGTTCCAAAATGGGCTGTCTGTCATGCTCATTGTGCGGATGGCTTTTATTTTCCATGGAAAAACCCCAAAATGTTGTTAGGCGTATAAAATATTACTATTATATTTGTCAGCGGCCTGTCATCACAGGCTGTTCAACAGTAAGTGACCGTGGACGCCTTGAGTCAGCTTTTGGAGTGAGCTTTCTCAGTAAACTGAACTTATGAACTACTTAGTCATAATATGCTGGTGCATGCAACCAGGAAACATGGTAAATTTGCAAGTGATGCCACAGTGAATTAGTGAAGTTAATTTTTGTTAAATATTTTTTTAAATGGTTACTAATTCATATTAAGGAAACTAGACAATCTGCCTGTCTACCTGAGACACCCTGTCATGTTCCACTTTAGAAAGAAAATATGAAACTGCACAAATTATTCTTGCATGAGGCCTCTGAGAGTCAGATCAGACTTTTTTTTTTTTTGTTTGTTTTCTGTTTTTAAACTCATGGTGGAAGCCTTATTTCACTGTACCCCTTACAAGAGTAAAATGTGATGCAGAAGAACAACTATGCATTGTGAAGTTCGTGCTCTGTGTTGGTTTTGCCGATCGCGTCGGGATTGGAGAGGGGGTCCAAGTCTGCAAACAGGTTGAACCACGCTGAGAGATCTTTGGACGTCCCTTCTGCCTCTGTAAAAAGATTTGACGAGGTAAATATCACCAAGAAAAGTCAGCGTGACGGTTTGGCGTTGGTTTTCTAGTTTATCCATTTCATTCTTATTTTCTAATGTCTTGACTTATATCGCCCAGGCCTACCTCTCTCTGCTGGCTTTGGAGTGCTTTGATTGGCTTCAGATGAGTGCTCAGTTGCTTGAGTGGCAGAATGTGGGGCCCAATCTGAAGAGGAAGTGTAGATTCGGGTTACTCACTAGGAAACTGTTACTGTGCAAAAGCACGATCCAACACGAGTCATTACACTCCATCGCACACAGCTGATGACTCGTCCCACAGAAAATCAAAACATTTACTGCACTGCAAACATTTTGTGAATACAAAACAGAAATCGTCTCCTTTCAGACATTTATTTGGTTTCCATTCTTTTCCATGTCTTGAAAATGCAACACGTAGCAGCACTTCATGGCTCTGGAGGGAACAGTGAAGTGTGCTGTACATTTCTTACTTAACCAAATGGAGAATTTGTTTTTAATTGTGTATTGTTGTTTCACCTTCAGCAGAAATTTTGAATAAGTTGAAGTACTTCGTAGATTTTACAGTTGCACCCTGACCTTGCCTTTTAAGTCCTACTGCCTGGATCTGAAATTGCTCGGCTCTTGGGAATATGTGGATTTTTTTTTTCTCCTTCCTTTGAAGATGAGCCGTTTTAGTTTTGATTTGCCAGTTTGGACTCCATCCGGAGTTCTGTGACTTCTTTTGGATCAGTCTGCTCTGCTTTCTGTTGGCTTGTCTGCCTCTTGAAGGGCTGACCTCTTTCACCACTATCCGATTGCTTCAATCCAACATGCTCTAGAATATAATAGCCCTTTACTGTCATTGTGTACAATGACAATAAAGGGCTATTCTATTCTATTCTAGAAGACAAGAGAGACGTACTGAATTTTAACCTACGGCAGAGTCCAGCAATAACAAGGATGGTGGTAAAAGTACAACTTAAAACCTTTATCATAGGCAACATTCATCAAACTTTGTGTTTTCTTTAAATACAGTTTGGCTGCTGATCCTGTGCAATTTTTAATCTAAGCAGTGACCTTTAACCAAAATCCCCTCAAAATGCTTTGTTTAGTACAAGGTTGTCAAGGTCATGCCATAAGCATACAGATAACCCACAGCAACTTGTTTTAAAAGCCTGAGAATGAGTGCTAGTTGCAGCATTTAATAATAAGAACAAATAACCATGTTTAGAAGCAAAATAAAGGATTTTTTCCCCCACATTTCTACCAGTTTCACAGCCTGATCATGCACTCTGAATATGACTGCAAAAGAGCTCTGATGTAAATTTAGTTTAAAAAATTTGAAGATTTGGCTTGAAAATACAAATGCATCAGTATTTATAGTGATAAATGAAAAAAAGAACAAAAACTGTTGTGTGTGTGGGGGGGGGGCAAGGTGTTTCTGCGCAGTGTACCAGGGGCACGGAGGAAAGTTGTCGTACCATAGGCACGAGGAGTGTGTGTTAACTAGTTTGCATTTGCAGTGGAGACAGACAGCTTTCAATGGGCTTGTGCTTTGGAAGTCACTCTGCAGATGCACAAAATTTACTGAAGCTCTAATGTGATATGTATGCCATATTAAGTGTGTGTGTGATAAGCCTCGTGCCAACATTTGAGAGGAGAAAAAGAAAAGAGGCACGCTCTGTTTCCCTGTAAACTGTAAGAAGCAGTTTTGCATTTCAAGTCAGCCCCTGCAGCACTTCTGTTTGCACAGATTGACTACCGCTCATTTGCTTTATAACGGTTTTATATTTCTACCAACGCTGGATCTAATTATTGTTGGTGTTTACAGTTTCATGTTCCCTTAATTTGGGGTTCAATCTGTCGTATCAGTTAAAAGTAGAAAATGCATGTTTAACGGCTTTTCATAGGAAGAGACTGAGGCCTCAGTATATTTCCAAAAGTCACTCACAAGTTTGTCTCTCCTGATATCATTTGTTTCTCCTTGACCTCGCCCATCTTGCATATCTTTATAGCACTTTTCTTTCTCAATGATTGTTTTGGGATTGTGGGAATATTCCCACAGTAATGTGCTGTGACTCATGAGTTAAATCTCAGTCATGCTACAGTAAATCACTCATTAAATCATTTTGTCTGACCTATTGCATTTTAATGATTAACACTGAATTGCCGGATTCTTATATGTGCCTCGGAAATGCAGTCAAACTATAAGCAGTTTTATAGCAGTGTGCAGCTCGCAGCCTTTAAAGCTGGAAATACACAAAACCAAGTTAACAATACCAGATGAGGCAGCAGCAGCCAGAATCCAAGCCAAGAGATGGAAAGTAGTTGGCAATTACCTATGGGTAAGCAAATCTAATTGCTGTATTTTAACAGCCTCCTACTATTACTTTGACAGATGTGGGTTTGATAAATCATTTTAAAGCCACTCTTTTGCCTGTGTGGAAACCATTGGGGAGGAAAAAGCAGCTCATTTTAACTCTGCCTTTTGGTGATTTTGCTAATGCACTGATTCATAGAAAAACAATGTGTTTTATTAGTTTTTAGGAATATGTATCTCTCCTTAATGTGTAATTAATGTAAATTAGGGCTAATTGATGGTTAGTGGTGGCTAATTTTTCCAGGTTCTGCATGGTGGTCAGAGAATCAGTCTAATGGTGCAAAATCCAAATGGTCTATTCTTTTGATTACTAAAGAGCTTCCTTGGACCAACTTACCAATTTTCTGGTTCACTCTTGTATAATAACACAGTTG